ACCCCATCTCTACTTTAAAAACTAGAATTTAAAAAAGTTTTTAATGTTTTGAAATAAAAGTTAAAAGACCATTTAATCACAATATCTATACATATAGAAATCCTTAAGGTTTGCCTTAAGGCAGCATTTCAAAGTAATTTAAAAACAAATCATAGGTACTAGAAATGGGCTGTTTGAAGGTAAGTCCCTTGGCCTTTCTTTATCAATAAGCACAGATGAGAAATGGTTGTAAAAATAGCCACAGGAGGTTAACAGTTACAACTTTACTTCGAAGTAATGAGGCCACTAAGTCTACAGTCAGGGAATCATTCAGTGGTTTGAAAAGAGATGTAATTTATATGACTGAATTATGAAAACCAACAAAACTAGAGCATTGCTGGATGCGATGGCTCATGTGCCTGTAATCCCAGCACCTTGGGAGGCTGAGGCAGACAGATCCCGAGGTCAGGAGTTCAAGACCAGCCTGGCCAACATGGTGAAACTCTGCTAAAAATACAAAAATTAGTTGGGTGTGGTGGTATGCACCTGTAATCCCAGCTACTCAGGAGGGTGAGACAAGAGAATTGCTTGAACCCAGGAGGCGGAGATTGCAGTGAGCCGAGATCACACCATTGCACTCCAGCCTGGGCGACAGAGCAAGACTCTGTCTCAAAAAAACAAAACAAAAAACCAGAGCATTGATACAACAATGATTTCTAAAAACATTTCCCTATAGCCTATGAATTCAGTTTATGACCAATGGAAGTATAAAGTCTCACTTAAAAAAATCATCATGACATATTCTGAGCATGGTTAATAGCCTTCCACTAGACCCTCCTCATTAACACTTTTGTAAAGATTCTGCAAATTACATAGATAATACATAAAAAATGGTGTTAATGGCCTGGCACGGTGGCTCATGCCTGTAATCCCAGTACTTTGGGAGGCTGAGGCAGGTGGATTACGAGGTCAGAAGATAGAGACCATCCTGGCCAACATGGGAAAACCCCGTCTCTACTAAAAATACAAAAATTAGCTGGGCATGGTGGTGCATGTCTGTAATCCCAGCTACTTGGGAGGCTGAGGCAGGAGAATCCGTTGAACCAGGGAGGTGGAGGTTGCAGTGAACTGAGATCATGCCACTGCACTCCAGCCTGGTGACAGAGCAAGACTCTGTCTCAAAAATAAAAAAATAAAATTAAAATTAAAAATGGTGTTATTACCCTGACTTCAAATCAGAATAGCAACTAATCTGAAGGAACAAAGCATAGTGCTAAGAGCATGGACTCTGGAACCACTACCTGAGTTTGAATTGCAAGTCTGCCATGTATTGGCCATGCAATCTTGGGTCAGTTAAGCTTTCTGTGCCTCAGTGCCACCCCGCACCCCCCAGGTGGGTGCTTATAGCCAATCCAGGCTATAAACTAGGTCAGAACTACACTTGACACATAGTAAGTGCTACATGTTTATTTCCTGATTTAAAAGATTTAAAAAAAATTGGCTCCAATATGTAAAGCCATTCAAAAATGGCTTCAAACTGGGTATGCAATTGGAAAATGTGCTAATACTCCCATTGTATGCCCACAGATAATTGATCCTAAATCCTTCAAACAATGAGATATAGTCTTCCTAATACACCACAAAAACTAAAGAACTCTGGTCTCAAATGACCTTCTGGGCCAAACTGATTAAGCATCAACTGATCACTATACTAAACAACGAAATGGGTTTTATTCAGCAATGACCATTTTACATCCTGTCTTCCGTTTTCCTTGCATGTGTTCTTGCCCTAGGGTTGTTACCCCGTGTCTGACAAAAGCATGCATTCCGGTCAAGCAAGGATGCATATTTGATGTGCCATGCCTATCTATACTCTGTCTGTGTAGGGAAAGGATGTAAAGGAAGGTTTCCAACTGACATTTTACTTCATTAGCTTAAGTATGTCCAGTGAGACATACTTTGTTTCTTTCTGTGTTACAGTGCCTTATTTTAAAATAATCTTAAGTCCTGAAGATTTGTTAAGTCTCTCAATTAAAATGCCGGTACCTAAGACATGTAAAGGGGAATGATATTTACACCCAATTAGAAAAACATTATTTTATTTTTTTGAGATTGAGTTTCACTCTTATCGCCCAGGTTGGAAGGTAATGGCATGATCTCGACACATTGCAAACTCTGCCTCCTGGGTTCAAGCAATTCTCCTGCCTCAGCCTCCTAGCCTGTAGCTGGGACTACAGGCACATGCCACCACACCTAATTTTGTGTTTTTAGAAGAGATGGTCTCAAACTTCTGACCTCAAACTCCTGACATCAAGTGATCCACCTACCTCGGTCTCCCAGAGTGCTGGGATTATAGGTGTGAGCCACTGTGCCCAGCCTGGAAAAACATTTTACATTTGGAGAACCTTTAGTTTCACTTTCAAAAGCTAATTAATCACAGTAAATATTGTTATCTTTAACGAGGTATTTTGAAGAAGGCCTATATTTACATTTGCCATCTATTATAGGCAAATAGGAAATTTCACAATGTACCTGATTTCAGAAAAGACAAGGCAGGGCAGAAAAGGAATATACTAAACTTAGAAAGCCACTTTTTGGTATCATATTCCTTACTCATCCATGAGCTATGAAATCTGTAAGGTAACATTTTGGGCACTCAGGGTATTCAGAGGCTGCTACAGTATCTGTAGTTATAGGAGTCTAAAACATGGGAAAGGCCTATGAAAATAATTCATCGAATTGTCAACCGAAACAGTCCCCACACAGAGTCAAAAGCGTGATGGCACCATGGGGAGAAAGTGACTTGGAACTAAGATGTAAGCTTTTCTAAGATGTGCTAGACAAAAGCACCTTTTTAAAAATTCCCGTTCCTAAAAAACAAAAAGGGCATGAAAACAGGGCCTTTGTTCATTTTTTAAAAAATTATGAAGTCAAGGATACCAAGTTTTAATGAAACCAAGCTCAAGTTTTAATGAAAGCAATCAAGATCAAATTTTGAGTTGATCATTCTCAAGCATCAAACATATGTACAAAGATGAAATTTCCCTAAGATTTTTGTCAATACAAATGTCCTTAAGATCTGAAACAGATACTCATGCTTACATGAACCTTGGTATTTAAAATCTGAATATATTAGAACTTGGCCGGGTGTGGTGGCCCACGCCTGTAATCTCAGCACTTAGGGAGGCCAAGGTGGGTAGATCACCTGAGCTCAGGAGTTTGAGACCAGCCCAGGCAACGTGGCAAAACCGTCTCCAAAAAAAATACAAAAATTAGCTGGCACACACCTATAATCCCAGCTACTCAGGAGGCTGAGACAGGAGAATCACTTAATTAGTGGAGGTTGCTATGAGCTGAAATGGCCCCACTGCACTCCAGGCTGGGTGACAGAGGGAGACCCTGTCTCAAAATAAAATGATTAGTGCTCCAGACCATTACAAATTCTACTGTTGCCCGGGCACAGTGGCTCACACCTGTAATCCCAGCACTTTGGGAGGTCAACGTGGGTGGATCACCTGAGGTCAGGAGTTCAAGACCAGCCTGGTTAACATGGTGAAACCCCATCTCTACTAAAATACAAAAATTAGCCAGGCATGATGGCTGGCACCTGTAGTGTCAGCTACTCAGCAGGTTGAGGCACGAGAATCACTTGAACCTGGGAGGCAGAGGTTGCAGTGAGCCAAGATTGTGCCACTGCACTCCAGACTGGGCAACAGAGGGAGACTCTGCTTCCCCATAAAAACAAATTTGTACTGTCCAGCTGCCTTATGATTTTTCATAAAAAGCACATTAAACTTGAGCCTTTTTTCAGTCATAAGTAGACAGTTTTCTCCCAAGCCTATACCTTTATCTAGTCTATAGCAGAAACTAGTGCTTAAAACCAGTACCCTGATTGTTCTTATTCAAGCTCCGTGATCACAAAAGCATGTAATTGGTAAGTGTTGGCAGACCAGATCTCTGCTGGTTGCACTCACTATTCCAATACTTCTTCATAGCCTCATTCTGTCCACTAAAGAACAAAAGCCTCACCATGGAGCTGACAAACAGCTTAGCTCTGTTATTTCCAGTGCTTGTTCCCTTAAAACTTTTTATTGCTCTATACTGTATCATAGGTAAATGACAAAAGGCTTTTGTAGACTGGTGTCCAAAAAACTCATGAGACCAGATTTATTTCACTGGTACCCCAGGCAGTGGGGGTTTCTTACTATAAAAATACATAGAAAGTTCTTAAAGACAACTTTCTCACCAATACTATGTCAACATTGTATCAATGGACATTTAGTGAAATGATTCATTTAGTGTTCTTCCTTCCAACTCTTCAGTTTAAAAACTCTCATTCCTCACCAAGGCACTCCAATTTGATACACTATCAATAACTAATCTGTAAATCCTTCAAACCAGCAGGTTGGATACCAACTTGCAAAAAATTAAATACATAAACTTTTTTGCTGGGAAAATGAAGATATTAACATTTAACAATCTGTCCAACTGTAAATATACTTTTATCATAAGTTCTCTAGCTATATGCAATAGCTAAACTGACATAAATTAGTAAACTGACATAAATCTTTTTAAAGTTCGGCCACTTTGTCTGAACAGGTTTCCTGAGCAAAAACAGAAAACTGATCCAGTACTCTCTCCATATAAATTTCAAATAAATCGTCTCACATTACATGAAAGAATTTCATCTTGTCACCTGACTCCTCGATGTCAGCATGACATATTTTGAAACTCACTGTAGAGCTGACCTTAACATACCACCTCTATCATGGGGTCGACAAATGTGGACTGGAGAGGGCTGTAAAAAAATTAAGCTGGCCCAAGCACTGGTCAGGCTATTCAGTTTTGATAGCACTTTTTATGTGACAAACCATGATCTGGTGCACCAGTAGAGCAACTGCTTTCCATTATTCCTTCGTGCCCCAATGAGTCAGGCCTTTTTCCATCATTAGCATTTACAACATAATAACTCCAGAGGCAGATCGTTAGAAAACACTTAAAAATAAAGACCACAATAGGCATTTTTAATTTTAAAGAATTTTAATACAAACTTAATATAAACTATTTCAGTCCCTCTTAACATGTAAGACACTGACTCAAAATACTTTTATACCGTTTTTTTCAAGTATTGCACAATATAGGTACAAAATTAATATTTACGATTACATTTTCTTCCATAATATATAGCAAAAATCTTTAAACCTTTAACAGAAAATACATTTTTTTGAAAAAGCAAATATTCGTACATTTTAATTCCACCACTAAAGGAATATCCTGTACACAATTTTTAGAATAGTTGATGTCTTTAAGATGGATATTTTACAATTTCAGTAAAAAAAATACAACATGAAGCTGCTGCTGTCACAGATCACTGTAGTAAAAAGATATAAATGCAATACCATGTCGTAGAAACAATATATATATCCTCTGATATTTTACAAACTTTGTACTAAATTAAATTATACAATTAGAAAAGACCAATAAACCCACTTATTAGTGCCAATTTTTATAAAAAAAAAATCAGCCATGTCCTTGCTATATCTTAAATACTGTAAGAGGCCATATCTGAGAGTATACTTTAAAATATACAGTCAGTATAAAATAACTTTGTGCTTGGTTGGCAAATGAAAAATGATGCATGTTTTATTTCTTTTAACCAAGCTTGAATGTATTCTTACTATAAGCTTAAAAAAAAATTCTCAAGGAGGCGGGAAAAAAAAAATCCCCCTTGGGCCCGTGCATTTTAACTTGTACAATATATTTTCTTATTTTTAGTTAGCCATAACAGGCTGGAATTGCTGGTTAGAATACTGCATGTTATTTAAGCTAAAATTCAAGCCATCTACAAAAGACTTCTCATTGAGGCCTCCATAGGCCGCAAACACATCAAAGGCATTACTGTACTGGAGAGGACTGAGGTTAAGGGGGCTATCACCTGGGAACATTCCATTGGTACTACTACCTTGACCCTGCATATTAGGAAAAATAAATTCCTTGGCATTAGGAGAAAGAGCAGAGGTTTTCTGCTGTGGTTGCTGCTGGGGTGGTGGTGGTGGTGGTGGTGGCTGGGCTGGCTGCTGCTGCTGCTGCTGCTGCTGCTGCTGCTGCGGCTGCTGCTGGCTACCCAAGCCAAGCCCATACAGAGAGTGCATTGAGGAAGAGATGGCTTTCTGCTTCAAGAGGTCATTCACATTCAAGCCGAGGTTGATAGGAGAAGTACGGGCAACCTTGTTGCTACGACCACTATTCTTCATTTTGGTAGAGCCGAACTTGGTGGCAGCAAAAGTGGCCGTGGTAAAGGTTAAAGGCTGAGTGGACCGGGGCATGAAGGTAGGGCTTACAGCAGCAGAGTGACCAAAAGGAGGCGATGGAGAGCTGGACACTGATGACGCTGGGTCACTTATGGGCATAAAAACCTGGGCCTCTGGGTTAAAGCTGTTTTTGATCTCCTTATCCAACTCGCATCCATTTTCGTTATTATCATCCACGTAAAGCACCTTCACTGGTCCCTTTTCACCAATTTGGTAAGAAACCTCAAATGGGTCGATCCAAACACTAAGATCCTGTGGCAGATTGCCACGAACATCATCAATGTCCAAACCACTCTCTTTGGATGCTTGTTCAATCACTGGGTCCACTTTCTCCCCTATGTGTATACATCTAAACCCCGATCCTTTGTATGGCTTTTCAGGATACCAGTGCCCTTCATATTTCTTCTTAAGAAGTCTTTCAAGTTCTTCACCAAAAATGTTGACACGTCTCCTGGGAAGCTTATTGTACAAATACGAAATAATAAAATTTAGTGCTACTTGGATTTCAAGCTGCATAGCTGCTATGCCACAAAATTAGGTTTGTTTCAACTCCCCCACCAAAAAAAAAAAAAGTGTTCAGTTTGTGGCAGAGAAACAAATTTTCATTCAAAGTGCTGGTATTGGTAGATTATCCTTCACCTTGAGTGATCTTGTTCCTTAAAACAAAAGCAAATATGTTCAAATAAGATAAATGTAATATAAGTCCCATGACCTTTTTTTCAACCCTCAAAGTAATTTCACCTTTCAAAATGTCTAATATCCTAGTTTGGTTTGCTAAGGATAAAAAGAAAATGTCTACTAAGACAGAAAGCCTGAAAACCATAACTAGTACAATAAAGAAACATAAAATAGAAAATTGTTTATTAAAGTTTAAAATCACACAGAAAAATGTAGGTTTACAGATGAAATAATGTTTTTAAGAACTTGATTATTTGTTTCTGAATAGAGTTCTAAGAAGAAAACCCTCTAGCATATGTATTATTCTCCCTCATTTCTCACAAGAATATTTATGGTACTCAGCATCCTCCCCCCTCTTATACGTATGCACTTTTGGGTGGTAATTTTTATTGTGTTCACCAACTTAGAAGTGAATCCACATTTTTGTTTACTTCGGATATATACTTTTAAATCTGCTCTGTCAGTGACATTTAAATATTTGGCGAGTTAGAAAAATCATTTTAATCTCCATAGTACATGACGCTAAAATTAAAGGCACTGAGTACTAAATGAATTTCATCCTAGTGAATAAGAACCAAATTATTCTATATAGTTTCGGCCTTAAGTATACTAAGAGCATACAATATAATAAATCCAAGCTTCTCTGTGCCTTTTATTTTCAATGTGTATTTTTGTAAATCTGGTAAGTACCTATTTGGCAGCAAGTATAACAAAGCAACAACACAAATTAAAACTATTGACTATTCTGCTTAAAGGCCAGGGTTTCTGAGTTTTAGTCTCATTTTAAAAACCTCCATCCCTTCCTCCCTCTCACGGTAACAGCCGGAGAGGCAAGTATGATAAGGTCGACCTTTAAACGTTTGCTGGATCAGCACTGGGTGGGGATAAGAAAAGATCAAGGGCAAACAGAAGATATTTGCGAAAGGGATCTATTTGCACACTCAAGTCGATTTAAAAGGACGTTTAAAAATCAAGTTGGTCCTAATTCGTCTGTTCCATTTTCCGTATTCGTGGTGACAAAGGAAAAAGAATCCCTGGCTGCCCCCAAACTACAAACACTTTCCAAGTCAAAAGCCTGAGTGCCAGCAGAGGCAGCTGATTAAGCCCAATTGCTTGAAGGTGCAGCCAAGCAAAATTCAGGCTCGGTGGAAGGTAGTTATAAAGCAGTGCCACAAGACAGGCAGGAGCGTGAAGAATTACATAAACAGCCAGTTAGATCTCATTAGATTTCTGCTCACAGCCCTCGGAGCCCGAGCGCTACAGCAGCAGCAGCAGCAGCAAGAGGAGGTGGAGGTGGAGGAGGAAGAGAGTACGAGCCTCCTCGGAGGGGGAGGAGGAAGGCCACGGGAAAAGAAAGAGCAACCTCTCCCGGCCGGGCACCGAGCACCCAGCACCCAGCAGGTCGAGGCACTGGATCAGCCTCTCCCCTCCCCCGCCGTAACCCGACCGGCCGCTCCCCGCCCCGGGCTCCTGGGACCCGGCCAGAGCCTGGGGGAGCACCGGTTCCCCGGCACCAGTTTCAGCCTCGCGGCCACCGGCCTCTTGGACCCCAGCGTTCCCCCGCGAGCTCGCCGCTCCTCCGAGCGCCCCAACCCCCGGCTCCCGTCAGCTCGCCCCGGGCCGCCCATCCCAGGTCAACCGCCCGGGACGAGCCCGACGCGCCGCGCCGCCCCTCGGAGCGGCTCCCCTCGGGTCCCGGAGCCTCTCCCCGGCGCCCAGGGCCGCGACCCCGCCGTCCCCTAGCTCCCGAGGGCCAGGGGCTCGGCGCCGCTGCAGCCCCCTCCTCCGCCGCCCGGGCTCGGGGCTCCGTCTCCTCCTCTCAGGCCCCGCCCAGCGCCCCGCGATACTTACGGGCTGCTTCTGGGGCGGCTTGGACCACAGACCGCGGCGGGGCGGGGAGCAGCGCGGCAGGGCGGGGGCGCGGGAGGGTCGGGAGCGGCGGGCTCGCCGAGTGCACCTGGTCGCCGCTGCGGGGCGGAGGACAGAGAGAACGGAGGCCTCGGGCGGGCCCTGGAGCTCGCCGCCGGTGGCGCGGGGTGGCGGGCGCGGGGATCAGACGAGCGCGCTCACTTCTCCACACAGCCCGGTGCCCGGCCCAGCGTCCCGTCGTGCGCCCGCTCCACGCCGGGCCAGAGCTTCGCTCTTTCTGCCGCGGCGCGCGCCCCGCCTCTCGTTTTATGGCCTCCTCCCAACCCCCATCCCTTCTGCCGGGGTGCGCGCGCCCGCCCCTCGTCACCCAGGCCCGGCGGCGCAGCCAGTCCCGGCGCTCCCAGCCCAGCAACCCCGGCCCCCGCCGCCGGCTCCGCCCCTGCCCTGCCCCCCGACGCCATTGGCCAAGTCCCGGCTGCCCGTGTCCGGACGCGCGGTGGACGCAGGGGTGGGGAAGCCGCGCCCTCGGGCTCCGGGAGGGCCAATGAACCGGCGGTCGGAGCCCTGGGGACGGAATTACGAGAACGTTAGGAGTGGGACTCGGGGAGAGACGTGCCACTGAGAGAAAGGGTGGGGTAGGGCGGCTGACGCCCTGTTGAGGCTGAGAGCGCCGGGCAGGCGGAGGGGGGGCGAAGCCGGCGGAAAAGCGGCCGAGAGAACCGGGGCTGGAGGAGCCCAGGGTGCCCAGAAAGTGCCCTCTCCGCGCGGGGCTTCGGCCGAGGAAGATCCCGGAGATCCTGGAATAGTTACCGAGTCGGTCTCCTGCCCACCCCAGCGGGGGTTTAGAGAAAGGGCAAATTGTGACCGGGACTCTTGCACCCGGTTAATTGAATATTAATCACCCCAAGGCCTAGGCCAACCGCCCCCCAGAGAGTGGCAGCTGCAGAACTAGCGGCGGAGCCGGGCTGGGGGCGGGGAAGGGAGGCGGCCGCAGCTCTCGCCCCGCCGGCAGTTTAACTGCCTCCGCAGCCTCAGGTCTCCCGGTGCGACCCCTGGCTGCGACTGGGATTCATTTATTCCGAATGTCCCAGCCCACGCCGGGCCCAGGGTGTGGCGACACGAGGCCAAGCTGCGTCGGTATCTGTGTCCCAGTCTACACACACGCATGTGCGCATGTCTAGGGCTTGCTGGAACGCAGGTGCACAGAATAAACGCGGGGCCTGCCTGTAGAGCAAGTGGAAGATCAGTCTCGGCTGATATATGTGCGGGTACCTAGGGAGTAGGGTAAGAGAGGGACTCGTGGCGGGGGACGGGTAAGCGCCTTTTTCACAACCTGCCCCAGAGAAATACACGAAATTACATCGGGAATGGAATCAAGCGTCCCTCTCAGCTAAAAATATTACTCACAGGTAGCAACGACGCCTGATTGGCCGCGCGGGTCCCTTCGCAACCAGGCGATTGGCTGCCTGGTATCCAGGAGACCGACGTCAAACTCGGACGGGGAAAGGGGGAAAGTCTGTGGGGAGCGATGGAGGGGAGGGGGGAAAGAAGCAATGAATGAAACGCCCATCGCCTGACCTTCCCCTTTCCCCTTTCTCCCGCATTCTTGGAGCACTTCCTGGAAAAACACCAGTTGGGGCGCCGCCTTCCCCTCCAAACGGAGGGGCCTGCACTCTCAACCTGCTATAAGGAAGTTAAACCGCAGCTCACCATGGAGTCGGTGTCTGCGGGGCGGGCCCGTGTAGACCAGCTGTGCTCCTCGGGCACAAACCCTCTGTACATGTCAGGCCTATAAGCTATTGGCTTTACGAACGCAAAATCTGGATACAGCCGCCGTCTCCACCCTGGGTCCCCTGTCTCTCCTTTTCAGAAGGACCCGCATTGAGAAAGGATATTTCTGAAGGCTCAAAGCGTAGAAGGGGAGGGAGGATGGGTTTGTGGAATGGGCCGACGGTGGGGAGTGGTCAGGTGACTGATTTCATGTTTATTGTACAGATTCCTAAAACATAGTTTTACTCAGTGACTCCTTAAATTCTGATTATTGTGATTAAGGTTTTTTAGTTGCAAACGAGAGTGGAATTGAACTGTGAAAGTATGGCAAAATTGTGAAAGCATTTAAATTAAAATGGCACTTCCTCTGCATTGAAATGTCATCAAAACGTCAAATATAAATGATTTGTTTCAGTTTTGTTTTTTTAATTGTGTGTTCGTTTTTGGTTTTGTATAATGACAATTCCATCTTTAATAAAATTATTTTTAATTTTATAATTAAGCACAGAAATTTCAAGAAACTAGATAAGATATTCCTGGAATGCCTTACCAAAAGAAACACTTCATTTTTCACATGTTCAGGAAGCACAGCTTCTCTTACCATTAGGCAAATAATGGTACTGTACCACACATCTAGAATTGCCGGCCCATGTGTCCTGATTTGCAATTTGGAAAATATATCACTATAATTGGGGGGCATGTTAGGCGTGGCTGAGAGTAAAATGTCTGTCTGAAGATAGATGAATTGTAATTTTGTCAAACTTATCTGTACTTTACAAGAATTTTTTTCTAGACATTTTTGTCAAAACTTTTCAAGAATCCTCTAAACAGAAGGCACAAGTTCTTTTTTCTGAATGTCTTCAATCTATAATTCCAGATTTAAAATACAAGAGCAGTCATCTGATAGGTACTGAATAAGTATCAATAGCAGTTAAAAGCATTAAGTCAGAAATGTAGATGTCAAAAATTTATGAGTTATTGCTGCTTGGTCCAGGAGTGTAAGAAGATTTCAGACCAAATATAAACACACTCATGCACAGACACGGAGGCCCCATGGCATACTGGAAAAAGCATTGAAGGGTGGGTACTGGGAGATCTTAGTTTCACACTGGTTCCTATCAACTTTTAGTTTTCTCACCTATAAGAAGGGTTGAATTAGATCATGTCTAATGTCTCCTTCAATTAAAAAAATTCTACGTTTAAAACTCAAGGTTCCTAACATATATAATGCAGCTCTTTTTCAAATATGGATTGCAAATAAAAGGGAAAACCGATTCACATCCCTGAACATTACCAGTCACGAGGTATAAAATGTTATTTATCCAAGTTTTGCATATGGCTTATTACTATTTAACATTTACTTTGGAATTATGCAGGGGAGTGGAAGACTAACTGCTAGTTGTGCAGGGGATTAGGCTTATGGAGGAAAAAAGAATTTGATATTAGGCTCCAAGTATATCACAATCAAGAGGTATTCCTCTCTGAGCAAATGACGGTCACTAGAAACCACAGCCTTTGCCTTCACATCCCTACATTCTACACAATTCCCAGTGGGTCCTTACAATAAAGGCAATTGTTTGGTATAAAATAACTTCCAATATCGTCGTAAAACACCGTTCTTGAAAGTGCCTTGAATTATTACCTCATTCACACAATCACACACAGCACCTTGATTTCTGAGATAGAGATGTCCTACGCTTTCTAATTCTTATCATGTTTCCTTATAAATTGAGACAGGATTACAGAATAGCTATCACATGGTGTGTAATTACTAAGACTCATTTCACTTTTAAGGAATCAAACTTTTACTTTTATTTGAAAATAAGACAGCCAGGATGAGGTGGCTCACGTGCTTATAATGCCAGCATTTTAGGAGGCTTGAGGCAGGAGGATTCCTTAAGCAGAGGAGTTCAAGACCAGCCTATGCAGCACAGTGAAACCCCTGTTTCTATTTTATTAAAAAAAAAAAATTACCCGGGTATGGTGGTGCTCACTTGTAGTCCCAACTACTTCGAAGGCTGAAGCGGGAGGATCTCTTTAGCCCAGGAGGTTGAGACCAGCCTATGCAGCATAGCGAGAACCTGTATCTATTTTATTATTTTTTTCATTAGCTGGGTGTGGTGGTACACATGTGTAGTCCCACATACTTGGAAGGGTGAGGCGAGAGGATCTCTTGAGACCAAGAGGTCAAGGCTGTAGTGAGCAGTGATCATGCCACTGCACTCCAGCCTGAGCGACCAAGTGAGACCTTTCTCAAACAACAACAAAAAACCGTAATGTTCTTATCATGATTGTTATTTCTTTCTTTCTAGACAGTCAGGCAACGTAAATCATAGTACACACATTTTAAAATTATTATTGTTTTTTGAGACAGAGTCTCACTCTGTTGCCCAGGCTGAAGTGCAACGGTGAGATCTTGGCTAACTGCAACCTCCACCTCCCAGGTTCTTCCTCCTCAGCCTCCCAAGTAGCTGGGATTACACGCACCCACCATCATGCCCGGCTAATTTTTGTATTTTTGTAGAGACAGGATTTCACCATGTTGGTCAGGCTGGTCTTGAACTCCTGACCTCAGGTGATCAGGCTGCCTCAGCCTCCCAAAGTGCTTGGATTACAGGCGTGAGCCACTGTGCCTGGCCTAAAATTAATTTTTAAAATCATGCACTAATCATTGAGTTATTAAAAACCAAGTAAACCAGTTCTTTTCTAGACATTTCTCCAAAAAAAGCAATGCAGTTATGTCTGAGGAAACTTCAGTGTGGGTTCCTGTGGCTTTTCACATGGGTTTGTAGTGGAGGGCTATATATTCTCCCGAAGACACCAGCACACAGACATTTGTAATTAAAAGATAACTGGATAATGTTGCACAAGCCCATTTGTCTTTGGAACAGGCAATTCTACTGAAGCAATGTGGTCTGATGGGAGAATGTCTCCTTATAATTTGCCACTCTCTATTATCTTGATGAAGAAAATCCAAACCAAATCTTGAAACTTCTTTCCATTAGCCAAGGAGGAAGATTTTGATTTCAGTAAAGAGATTATAGTGCAGATTCTAGGAGTAATACAGTGTTCATGACATTCTAAGTACAAGGAACATTTATATAAAGTACTCTGAGAGCAAATGTTATTAGAGTACTTTAAATACATTTAAAGCATGGGTTGCATATGTTATTATGCAGCTCTGCTTACTAAAATAGCATATAATTTTATATTTATAACCAATTGTGGCAGACACTGCTGCCAGCTCACCCGTTTCCCATGCCCCATCCTCGTTCCCTTGTCTTCTTGACTGAAGAGGCTAGAAGAGCTGAATGCATGTTTCCCTGGGTTTCATTGCAGTAGAGGTGGCAT